AATTATATTTAGGGGGTGGTTGTTTAATTGTGGGGAAAAAAAACCGTTGCAAGAAAAAAGAAATATAAATAATATGGTTGGATATAAATAAATACGAGCTTATCGTTTGAAAAATAATAAAATGGAATAATGATAAATTACTCCAACTAGCCTTCCCCTCTTGGTGGCTCCCATTTAAAGCTCCCAATTAAATCCCATTAAACTCAAACCACCTTACAATTTATTGTATTAACCAAATTTCCACTTCTTCCATTAATTTCTTTTTCTTCATTTTTCTCTCTCTCCCATATTTCATTCCATTTTTTAAATCAATTATAAATTATTTTAAGATTTAAATTTATTATTATTATTATTATTATTATTATTTAGTACAAAGATGAGATACATAGTACTAACTCTAGATTTAGAGAGATTTGGTCAGTCTGACCACTTTAATGTTATATACTTTTAAGTATTTTATGTATTTCATCAAATTATTTTTAATATATAGTTTTGATGTGACTGTATTTTAACATAATTTTAAATTTTGAAATGTATAAATTAATAGATTAAATCAAATATTTTGAATGATAAATTGAAATCTCAATAAATAAATAAATAGATGTTAAAATAATTAAATGAAAATTAAAGAAGAATAGCATTGCATGGGCTGACAGGGAGATGTCAAAGGGCAGTGGGGAACTTAATATTTAGGTTTAATTTAGGGGTTGCTGGCAGGTTCTTATCAGTGTCATGAAGTTGATGCCAAGAGGCTTCAATACGGTGCGCTTTACCATACAATTAATAATTTTTTTTATTATTTATTTAATTTATAAGCATAAGGATATGGCTCCGTAATTATATTGATTTTGTGCATTAAGGATAAGTTTCTGTATACGCAATGAATTAGATTAAGATTATGATAAATATATACCTTATTTTCCGTAAGACATGCACGAACCATTTATGCAAATGGTCAAGCACAACTCGTAGTCTAAAATAGACGATTTTAACCTATGATTTGTTAGATACGTCTAACTAAGTTATTTGCCTATATTACATAATATCTGCAAATAATAATAATATTGATTGGTACCCATACCACTTACTAATATATTTATTAAATTAAATTATATATGTACATATGTATATATATTTATTTATTTATTTATTTATTTTCTCTCTATTTAGCTCTCAACAACACAAACTAACTAAGTTGGCTTACATTCATTCTCATTCATTAGTAACACATGCATGAAAAAGCCCTAAAAACCCTTGGTATATAATAATAATAATAATAATAATAATAATAATAATAATAATAATAATAATAATAATATAATTGTTATCCCATTTAAAAAATGAGTATGGGTGCCCAAAATAACCCTCATAGTGAAAGAAATTGAAGATCTGTCTAGATAGGGTAAAAAGGGGCAGAACTGATATTATTGCAAACCTATTGCCAAATTTTGCAATTAAAAAAATTAAATGAATAAATTTTTTTTATAAAAAATATCTCAATAAAGTAAACCAACATTTAACAAGTTGTTCTTCCCCATGCAGTTGATTTAGTGCTACAAATTAATTTTCCCATGTACCGTTGTGTTTAAATATTTTGGGAGCCGTTGATGGGGTTTTTAATTCTAGTTTAACTGTTACATTGATTTATATGGATATATAATTAATTACTTTTAGTCTCTCCTTTTTCTTATTAAATTATAATTTAATATATATATATATATATATATATTTGACATAATCTACGTAAACATTAATTTAAAATAATTTTATAAAATAATGTTAAGAACCAATACGTTTGCATAAAATATTTGAAATAAAACAAGAGAAATATGAATAAAAACAATACACTATTTTGACCTACAAAATAAATGTAATTACTAACGCAGATTTTATGGTCTTTACTGAGACGCTGCTCTCAATCGTATGTTTTGACTAAGTTAATTTTTATTGAATTTTTGAAAAAATTAATTGGTTTATAAATAATTTAGCTAAGAGGCTTTCTCTCTATCTCTCGTCATATGTTTGCTCACCTTACTCTAACATGGAACATGGAGTGGAGGAGCTTAATTAATTTGAATTGAATACAAGAAAAGGCAAAGTAATTGTTTATTTATTTTCTTCTTCTAATTTATATACAATACAAGCCTCATTTTGAAATACGCAATTAAATGAGGACTAAAAAGCAAACCCAAGACGAATTCTTGGCCTTATAAATAAACCCCTCTTACAGGCCCCAACTCAACGCCCCTGCAATCCCAAGCTCTGTTTTTCAAATTTCCTCTGTTTATTTTTTATTTTCAGGTGAATTAGATTCTTTTTTTGCTTATTTGCATGTTAAGATTCCATTCCAAAATAACCCATTTTTGTTTTGGTTTTAGATTTGTGGGGATTAGAAGAGAAGATGAACCGGAGAAACAGTGGCGGAGGAGGAGGAGCAGCAGCAGCGCCGAAGCTGGAGCTGAAGTTGAACCTGTCTCCGCCGAGGGCGAATAGAGGAGTGGAGTCACCGAGCCGGTCGGCCACGGTGTCGCCGACGTCGCCGCCGAGCTCGTGCGTGTCGTCGGAGGAGGAGATGACGGTGGGGAGAGTGAGATACTCGAGCAGCCCTGAAGCGACATCGATGATGCTGGTCGGATGCCCACGGTGTCTGATGTATGTTATGCTGTCGGAAGAAGACCCAAAATGTCCGAAATGCAAAAGCACTGTTCTTCTCGACGTTCTCCATGATAACTCCGCCGTCAAAAACAGAAGAAACTAGAAACAGAGACCAAGAACATCAAATTCTACAAGCCCAGAGATATTTTCTTTTTCTTTTTTGGAATTTTAGAGTGAAGCTTAGTTTTACTGTGTTGATAGGACAGTAGTACTGTAGAAGATGAAGAAGCTTAGTTTTTTTTTTTTTTTTTTTTTTTTTTTTTTTTTTTTTTTTTTTTTTTTTTTTTTATTTTTAATTTTGGGTTGAAGAACAATATTTAGGGACCAGATTTTTCTGTCCCTTTTAGCACAGGACTATGTAACCAGCGGTTAACTGCGAGTGCCCAAATGTTTCATGTTTTTTCCTTTTTTTTTTATTATTTTTATTTTTAACTTAGAATTTACTTCATTTCATTATATTTAAAAGTAGTTTATTAAAAATATTACATGGCAAGGAAGTGTATTTAATTAAATATTAAATGATAAAGTCATCTATCATTTATTTTTTACCATATTTAAATTTTCCAATTTAAAATTTTTATTAAACATAAAATAAAATAAAAATTAGGGATAATTAATTTCCAATTTGGATGTGAAAAAATTTTCTTTGATAAATAATGCTTGGTGGTCCCTCAAATGGGACCAGATATGCATAGCATGTAGCATAAAATGCATCATCCAAGCTACAATAGCGTTAAGAGTAAGATACGTTGTACTGTCATCTACATGTTCCTTAAAGGATAATGGCGTCGAGTTGCTAGCCAAATAAGATGAAGAACGGAACTATGTAGCCAACTGTTAAACTTGAAATATATATATATATAATCCATGCATAATTAAGTATTTATAACAAGATTTAATTAAAATCTTTATTTCTAAAAAAATTGATTTGTCTCAACTTTATCTCACATAAATATAATATAATTGAGTTAATCTTCCATTTTTCATTAATTTCGAGTTAATCTCCAATTAGACATTAAATTTATCTAAAATTATGTTTAAAAATAATAATTATAAACACAAAACATTAGTATATAGAAGTAACGAGACCAACCGAAAAAAAAGAAAAAGAAAAAGAATGAAGCGTGGGGACATTAGAGGTGGGCCCAACGGAAAGAGTTGCAGTGGGGCCCAGTAGTTGAATGAAATGGCAGTGGGACCCACATATGATGGCATGGCACGCTCCAATTGGGGGGTGATTAATTAATAAACAACGTAAAAGAAGGTAGGTGATTTAAACATTCCATTAAATCATGTGCAGTGCATGAATTCTTTTGGGCGATAAATTAAATAAATTTTCAACGAACCAAAAGTTTCAAACAAGATTAATTAAATGAGCCACATGAAAAACAGATTAAAAAAAAACAAAAAAAACCCATATTCATATTTTTTATATTTTGGTTCCCAAAAGTCATTTTTTTAAAACATTTTTATTTTAATTATGAATTTTTCAATTACTTTTATTAAATAAAAATTAATTTTAGTATAAAGGGGATATTTCATATCTTATCAAAATTTAATTTATTTGTTTCATATTTAAATTATTACTACTAAACGTATTCAAACATATACTTCGGTGAAACCCTAATCGAACGTATTGTAAATAATATATATATATAATATATCAAAGAGGGAAGTGGTTCGAGCGTTGAAGAAAGGAGAGGGAGTTATAATGTAATGGAAGGGGAAGAACATAAATGCAAGAGTAATTGAGGGGGTTGGGAATAATGAAACCAAGCCAAGGATATAAAGGGTATTACGTCAATACAATCAAATCTGAACTGTCACTTAAATTACTGTTAAATGGTTATCCTTAGTGAGACAGCGCAATAGTTGACCGGACATCTAAGAGTAAAATATTAGCTAATTTAGGAAATGATCATGAATTTATAATCAATTGGCACGAGCCATTTTGAAAAAGAAACTCAAAACAAAGCCATGAGCTCAAAACAATACACTGCAAATAGAATCCTCATATTAGGGTTCCAAAATTAAATTCATATATATATATATATATATTTTGTTTGGAATTAAATTAAAAATTTAAGTAATTTATCACCTTAGATTAATAAATACCCAATGAAGTTTTGCATTATGGTAATAAGAATTCTATTAATGAACATTTTAATAATCATTTTGTTAATAAATCAAATGATTTATGAAGATTAATTGAATTATAGGAACCAATTAAAAACTATTATGAATTAATAAAATATTAAAAAAATTAACTGGTTATTAATCCAATTTTTTAATTAAATTTAATGAAAATGTATATAAATGTTCATCTAAAGGAATTTCACGCCAACTCTAGTGTTTTCTCCGATTCGAGGCCATGTCCGACTCTGAATTCCCGCCGCCGTTGCCGATTCAGTTCATAGTATCTCGGTCGGTTTAGTTTTACAATCTGGAGTCCAAGTTTGAGCTGAACCATTAATTTCATGGCATAGGGACCATAAAAACCAGACTTCCCGCAGGTTCTTATGGATTCCGAATTTCATGGCAGATCCTAATATTCGGCGAAATCAACTGGAGATCAGGTACACGTTTTAATAGCTAATTTTGACTGGATCAAGTTGATTCAGGTTGGGCTTACGCTCGCTGATTTGGAAGGTAATCTTCCGGATTTGGGCACGGACAAGTTCTACAGATGGGAGTTTAATTTTAGGGATTTACTAAATTATGTGAGGGTGTTCTTGGTGCCTACGGTTTCTCGATGAGATTCTTCCCCGATGTGCACGGCGGCGTTAACAGGGTTTGATTATATTCTTAATGTGAAACGTGAAATCGGGAGGAGTTACATGGTCGGCTCAGATAGCTTGGTGACCTTGAGCGCGAAGTTGAGGGTAGTATACTTTAACAATACTAATCTTGATAAGTATGCTGGTATTTTGTATTGTTTAGAGCATTTGTCTACAGCTAGAAAATCTTCATTTTAACAGTACATATCTTCCTGAGCGATGATTTGCACGCATCATTCCTATCAATTCCATTTTAGTTATGAACTCACGATTGTCTTCCTGAGCGACAATTTGCATTCAGTTGGCTGATATTTATTTTTTCAACCACCCAGTTGCTCCTAAATCTGTCGAAATATAAATGTTTGAAGGGTATTGATCATTGATAGGGTAATGGAGGTTGTGAGATTATAGGTAATATCGATGCATTGGATTTAATGTGGCATAGCTAGGGCAGTGGAGTTGTACCCTGGTCTTATCGGTTGCAATTTTATTTCTCTTTTGAGTTAGAAGATGATATTTTGGTTTGCTATTAACTATTTAACTCTTCTAGTCTCCTTAGTCATTCGTTCCTTCATTGTATTATTCAAGATAACAAATATTGAATGTGCACAAATATCTTTTAAGGCGGAAATGTAAAGAAGGTTAAATTACAAATTTTGTCCCTATTGGAGAAAGTTAGAATTCATCCAAAACCATAGGGACCAAATTTGTACTTATAACGTTTAAAGAATTTGGTTTTAGATGAAAGTTGTAGCTGTTGGGTTATAAACATTGGATCTGGTGCACTGCTAGTAGAAAAAAGGAGAATAAAACAGGGGAGTTTTCCATAGTATGTTTGTTACAATCCCTTAGCATGTTCTTAATGTTTCTAGCATCTTTTACGTTGAAGATTTAAATTGTACCCCATAGAGACTAATGTAACCTTTGGCGTAAAGTATCTGCAATCAGACATGGTGACAATTCTTTTGGATTATTACTGCAACAACCTTCTCAGAACACTAGGACCTCCTGATTTTGTATCGCTAAATCTAATTGTTTGTTTTATCCATTCTAGTCTATCCTCTGAAATCTGGAAATTATACGAGGGTAAAACTTCAAGGTCCGTTGATGATGCTCCTTTGAATTTCAATTCTGCATATCCTTGCCATCAAATCTTTTTTTTTCCTTGAGTCGAACAAATGAAGGGGTTTGAGCCTTCAACTCCAAGAGAAGAAGTAAATTCCTTTTTAACATTTTCATCAGCAATATTTTAAAAATCAAGGGGCTGATTTTTTACTCAAGTAATAAGTTGAACGAGCCAATGGATTCTATCATTGATGATAATTGTGATGTTGAGATTTGAGAACGACCGTTGGAATCTCTGTTCTCGAAGTGACAATAGATGGAGGTGAGTTTTTTGTGTGTTTCTACTCTTTTATATGGTTATTATTTTTAATGATAGATGATTTTACTTTCTTCTGTCATTATGGATATTTTTCTATATAGGTTGAGGCTTATGGCTTGTAAGCCTAACCCTTTTGGAAGGAGATCTTGATGCGAACTTTAGTTTGAAAATGTTGGTCATGGATGGCATCCAATGCTTAGAAGAAACCTCAATGACAGGAAACTTTGGGATCAGCTTGTTGCAGACTTGTGATAGAACCCAAATGTATTGATAGGATTGCTGTTAGGGTAGAATTACAAACATGGCTAGGGAATTGAAGGTACATTAGTAATTAGTAAGGAAGTTGTTAGGGTGGTTTGTTATAAATAGGGTGCGGGGAAAGGGTAGACAATTGTTTAGTTGGTCTAGGACTTGAGTGATCTCAAGAACGAGAGGGTCCAAGTACTTGGAGGGTTATATTGTATTTCCATTATATTTTATATTTCAAAACATTTAGGTTCTATCAACTTTCTAGAATTCTTGTTACCAAAATAAATGATTGGAGAATATCATTAGTGAAGTAATTAATTTTGCATCTCTACGTTCCTCATCATTTTTTTAAACATTCGGCGCATTCAACAGTTTAATTTTTTCTCCCGAAATTCCTCCTTGTTCTCTCTCTAAACATTTATTGGGCTATTTTGTTTGCAATTTTTATGAGGCAGATATGGACAAGTATTATTGTATATGCATTTCAAAACACGAAGCATAGGAACTTACTGCTGGAAATGATCCTGTAAATTGATTCTACTCTGAAATACTGGCAACTCTGAAGTCCTTTGAGTTGAGTTCATACAACTGTGATTTGGGTTCGAATTTACAAACTAGTTTTTGTGGATCTCTGCAGGCTTAGCTTTCTGGTTATGAAAGTCTACCTAAGGATGTTGAATGTGCCTTTTGAGGTTGACAGATCGTTTCTGATTTTTCAGCATCCTTCTGGGTAGCAGAGTCATTACGTTTTTTTGGGCTAAAAAAGTGATAGGCCCCAAATTACTGGGGCGTATGATCGTAAGCGTTGTGAGGAAGGAGGGAACTGTATGAGGGGTTGTTTTCATGTAGGTGTGGAGCCCAAAGGGTTTATTAGTGCGTGTTGAGGCCTTGAGGGAGAATGGAAATTAATAGGCGAGATTTGTTGTGGGGGGAAATATATATATATATATATATATATATATATATATATATATATATATATATATATATATATATATATATAGTAATTTTCTGGTAATTCTCGTGAGAGAGAGATAAGGAGAGTTGGAAAGCTCTCAAAACTTCCTTTGTTTTCACTTTAGATAAATAAAACTGAGGCTTAATGCTATCAAAAAGATTCTTAACATAGATTTCCCCCCCTTGTTTTGGAAGAGTATTTAACATAGCATGGCAGGTTTGATACAGAGAAATCCCTTCTGCCTACTCCCAGATTTTGTTACAAGAAGGGGTAGACCCGAATGACATCTTCCTCACCTCTATTTTTCTTAAAAGAAACAGTTTTGGTTAAACTACCATTTTGTACCTTGGGTTTTATTCTATTTTAGCTTCTTTACTTTTAACTGACCAAATTTAGCATATGTACTTTTGATAAATCCTAAAACTAGTTCATGCTATTAGTTTGGTCAACTTTTTTTTATAAGAAAAACAGTCTCATTTGGCTTTCTATCTATAAATTTTGGAAACATATTCACATTGTGTTTCTCTTGCATAAAAGTTATTATTATTATTATTATTATTTAACCAATTTCAATAAAAATTATCTTCATGTATTTAATTGTTGGAGCTTCTTGTTCAATCGCTCTGGTTGTTCAACCTATGCCTAGAGGATGGCCTTCTGCATCGAAGCATCCGTCATAATTAGTGCCAGTTGGAGAAATTTTTGGTGTCCTACTAAGTATATTCCCTTGTGCTGGTTTTTATGCCTCGAGTTCTTTTATTCCTCTCTTGTAATTATAGTAGAGTTATGTTCCAACAGAAAGAAAAGAATGATTGTGATTTTTCATCTCATGTCCAGATGAGTTTAGTCCGGTTGTTCTCTGATTGTTATTTGGATTGTGGATGGTAAATTTTCTACGTTACTGCTAGTTTATGATCGATCGGGCTTCAGTTTAATTGTGTTTTATGACTGATTCTTTTGTGCCAGTTTTCAGATTCTTATACGTGGATGATATCAATGAATGAAGGTGTTATTTTCTACGGCCTTTCGTCATCACGCTTGTTACTTCACAGGTTCCTTCCTTTGTCCCTTTGCTCCTATATTTGATATTAAGGATAATTGGTTTTTTAATTTTTGCTACACGTAGCAAAATAGTAATTGATTTCAATATTTTCTATCATATGAATTTGATTTAAGTAAACGTCATTTAGAAATACTAGTCCAATTAGAGAGAGATTGGTACCATTCTTGGGCGAGTTGGGATTCGAATCCCTGTGGTTTCATCTCCCTTTTTCTTTTGAGTGTTGTAATCTAAGCCTAGTTTATATTAAGACAACATAATATAATTGCAGGGAATCAACTTCAATTTTTTTTATTCAAACTTGAATTTGAACATCTGATTTCTTGATATAGAATATCTGTTTCAATTCAACTAACTTTATAATAGTAATGTAATTGTGTTTTCTTTCATGTTCCATTATCAAATAATGTAATCCCAGAATTACATAACAAACACTTGTTTAGTTTTTTTTTTTTTTTTTTTTTTTTTTTTTTTTTTTTTTTTTTTTTTTTTTTTTTNTTTTCATTTGATAATAATTAGATAAATACGTTGCACTGTTACTTTTATACCACAATAATTCAAGGTACAGTGTTACTAATTATTTGTAATACTCATTGACAGTTATCTGTGATAATTATTTTTATGAATCTTGTTGTTTCTTGTTATGAATACATAAAAGTCTCATATCAATCTGTCACTTCTGTAATGGGTCCTACATTTTAAGATAAGTATAAACTGAGTTGTTATTGGTCCTACCCTCCTTTTTTTTTTCTTCTTATATTGCTTTCTCTAGTTTAATCCTCCACTATTAGGAAATTATATAGCAGAGACGATCTTAGAGCTGCTTGATCTTAGAGGAAGTGCTTATATTTTAGAGCATACTTTCCTTTTGTTTTGTGTACGTATGGGAAGAAAAGTGTAGAAAAAATAGAATATCTGAATGCATAATGGCTATACATTTGGATGCATTGAATACCAAATGTTTATTTATATTGAAAAACATGGCCCCTATCTGTCTGTGTATGTCTCACAAAACCCAAAAGAATACAAAAAGAAGAAAGGAAAAAAGAAATAGAGAAAGGAAATGGAGGAGATTGTGGGACATGAAGCCATGCTGTATAGTTTGTTTGGTTGCTCTCATGGCAAACTGAATAGCCAATTGGAGTTGTGACCCTAAAACATCCATGTGCGTCTTTGGACCACCTCCTCACCACACTAATCTTTTTTGGTCCCCTAACCCACCTTCCTTAATTTTTTTTTTTTTATATTCTTTTTCTTAGTAACTCGGTTTCGAGACCCCAATCCTTCTTTAAGAGTCTAAGCATACCACTAGCAGATATTGTTCGTTTTAGCCTATTATTGTTGTCAGCTTCACGGTTATAAAACGCGTCTGTTAGGGAGAGATTTTCACACCTTTGTAAGAAAATGTTTTGTTCTAGAGGACCCAACATTTTTGTTGGCACACCGCCTGGTGTCAGCTCTGATACCAACTGTAACAATCCAGGCTCACTGCTAGCAGGTATTGTTTGTTTTGGCTATTATATGTCGCCATCAACTTCATGGTTTTAAAATGCATCTTTTAGGGAGAGGTTTCCACATCCATATATTGTTCTCCTCTCCAACTGATGTGGAATCTCACACCGTCTCACCTCTTATTAGCCTTTGGAGAGGTTCCACTTGTCTCGAGAGAGTACAAGAATCTTACATTTAATTTATGGATTTGAACTTAGAACCTTGTATCTAGGAAATGGAAACATCTAATTTCTACTTGGTTGGACACTTTTAGTAGGCCCAACCCGAATGGATCAGAGAAGGAAGGGTTCTAATAACCTTTGTTATTTTCATTAGTTTTTTAATGGAGGTGGAATCGAACCACATAAAGAAATTTTAGATCAACTTAGAAATGTCAATGATGCAAGGCAAGGATAGAGACATGGATGCATGTTCCTAATGGACGTGGAACCGATCCATAAAAGAGATCTAGTTCATGTTAGGGATGACAATGATACAGCTTACAGGCGAAGACAAGGTTGCATTTCACATACGCATCCTAATAGGGATTGTTAATCTTCGTCCTTGCCTTGTTTTCTATTCGAGGAATCAAAGTCCTTAACAAATAGGTTAGAAACATGTTGGCGTTTGTGTCATGCATGTTACATAGTTGATGATCTGTGCATCATACACTTAGAAACATGTTGGCAATTGTGTCATGCATGGTACATAGTTGATAATCTATGCATCATACATTTTTGTGTTTTGGGTTTGTTTAGTTTGAAATTAAGAAAGAACAACCCCTTTCGAGTCAGTTTTGTACATGAGAGTTCATATACTTTTCTATTGTAATTTTTCTCTATAATCTTTATCTTTGAAGTTCAACAACAGTGGAGGAGTTCAAACTATGGGTGTTTAGAATGATAACGAGTATCTTATCCACTAAGTAATGCTCTCGAATCAACTTCATATTGTTTGATTATCTCCTTCATTTTATATTATTTTTTAATATCGAAAAGTGAGATTCATTTGCCAAAAAAAAGTTATCTCCTCCCAACTAAATATAGATGAAAGATGACATAGAGGTTAGGACCACTACCAGCTTGCATATGTCAACATCAAACACTCCAAACTTCCAACCTTAACCTAAATTTAACCAAACACAACCAACATTATCTTCAACCTTCTTCATAAATACATATATTTTAAAAAAGATAAATCTATAAACTCAGAATCTGCCAAGACAACGTCGGATGAGGAGTTTTTGTTCGAGAGAGTAAGTTTATGTTCGAGAGAGTAACATTTACCTTTTTATTATAAACAAATTAATCTCATATTCTATCGTGTTCTAAATTTTAGATTTCATATTGATCTCTTAGCTGTAACCGTACGAATTTTGTAATGCAAGTCAAACACTTCTCCCATCTTTTTTGTTGTTTTTTTTTTTTTTTTTTTAATTATGATTTTTCACTAGAAAATACACACTTGATATTGAATTGTAAAGTTTTTTTTTTAAAAAAAAAAAAAAAACCAAAGAAAATTTCCTATGGTCTCTGTCCAGTCTGTGCGTAAGCTGTCTCCCTTCCACAGCTCTCTCTGACTCCTCCATTAATGCCAAACAAAGAATTCATCTTTCCCTCATTATTTGAACCCCGCGAAAAAAGAAAGCAAAAAAATGGCCAACAAAGTGAAAAAGCTTCCTAATTTTCTCAATAAATCCCCATGGCTATGGCGTTCCTGCTCCCAATCCAGAACCCTCTCTTTTCGCACCTCTAACGACATCTTCAGAACCATCAACTCAGCCTACGAAGAAGAAGAAGAAAACCCAGCAGCCGACATGTCGGATGATGATGACCAAATTGAGGCCTTAGTGAGAGGGCTAAGGTTAAGGCAGGGGAAGCGGCTGTTTTTGGAGCTGGAAGAGACTAATTCCATAATGGCGGCGGCGGCGGCCGTGGCTGTGGGCGGAAACAACCAGGTTCCATTCAAGGAGAGCGTCGCAATGGCAATGGATTCAAAGGAGCCATATTTGGACTTCAAGAAGTCGATGGAGGTGATGGTGGAAGCTCATGGATTGAAGGATTGGAAAGGCATGGAAATGCTTTTGAGTTGGTATTTGAAGGCTAATGGAAAGCCTAATCACGACCTCATTATTGGAGCCTTTGTGGATTTATTGGTTGATCTTGCTTTTGCTTCCTCCTCCTCCTCTTCCTCCTCCTCCTCCTCTCTTCTATACTCTTCTTCTTCGTGTTCTTCGTGTTCTTCCTCAACTCATGTTACTATTCCTTGTCTATCTTCTTTGTTCCAAGAGGAGGAAGAAGATTTTTAATTAATCAACTACGATAATATCCTTTCCGATATACCTACTTTTTATTATTATTATTATCTATTTAATTTCTTTAATTTAACTAATTTGTTTAAATGTAATAGGAACATAATTCATATTAACTAAATTATACATTCATGAAAATTTTTAAAGGGGTTTGTCGGGGGTGATTGATCAGGTGCACACACATGTAGAACGGGTAATTCGATAAGCGAGATCGAGCGGTCCATATGGAAAGAGCCTAAAGATGAACCAATGAGAGGCAATGGAGTTTGAAAAAAAGGTGGTCATTATCAAAAGGCATAAAGCAATAGAAGTCCAGCGCAGAAATTTGGCATGGTCGAAGCTTACGCTTAGTTGTTTATAAATAAGCATCCTTTTCCTTTAGCCTTATACAGCAGCAGCAGCTGCGGCAGCTGCAGCTGCATATTCATCGGCTGTGGACATGTCTGTGTTTTAAATTTGTCACCACATATGGATCTTTTCCAACCTTCCAAATTATTCCATTCTTTTTTCAACAAAAGTAAAAAATCATTTGATTTCAAATTCATTTTCTAAATTATTACAAATTTAGTCTATAGATTTAAATAGTTTATTCTTATTTTACGACCATGATGTGACATATAAATAACAAAAGAAATATATTACTCCATAAGACCGTATCTGGTAAATGGTCATTTTTTGTGGAGTAGAAATTGAGAGATAGTAACCGGTGTTTAGTGGCATTTCCTTCTGTGACAGCATTTAGCTTGTGCAGCGGCGAGTAAGGGAAACTGCTTATTAAGTCTTGCCTTATCAGATATTTGGTACCTGACCTTACGCCCTATGACCTGACCTTACGCTCATACCTATGACAAGACCTTATCATGAGGTAGCCCTATCAGGTTTTTGCCCAAAGTGTCTTACCTACTACGCTATGTTCAAATTTGTTGATGTACGGGATTGTATGGATGATGTCTCTCCAGGTTCGGTAATTTTAGTTTTATAAAAAAAAATGGTCAATTTATTTAAAAAGTATTGAGACATAGATAAAATCTTTATATTATTTGAGAGGAATTTATTTATTTATTTTTCTTTTGATATTTGGGCTCAATTGTTGAACAAGGGAATGGGCTTTTAAAAACATAAATCTACGAGAATAATTAGGAGAAAGATAGGCCTTAGAATATATATATATGTATGTATGTATATATAGTTTGCTTCAAACATTTTAGTGAATGTTTTAAGCATGATTGTTTCAAAGGGTTTAGTGAATGTTTGTTCTTTGTCGTTATACTCAAGCTTAGATGTCAACGTAGTTATTAGACTCAGGTCAGGGCGCAACATAACTAAGAGAGCCATTGCATTTAGGGCGAGCCCGTATGATTATGGGGGCAAGCACGAATTGTTTGGTGTCCAAGCCAACTGGTCAGACGACGACGATTGGACTTATTAGATTAGTATTAGCAGGCTTTGAATATTATGAACTTGTCTAAGTCAATCTCTGAATATCATGAACTGGTCGGTGTTGACAGACCTAGTTCTTTGTTTTCAAGTAAAGCTCCATATCTCCCTCATTGATGAATCAAATCACTTGAAAGAAAGTAACCTCTCGAGAGAAATTTATAGCGTGAATGAGGAATCACGGTAACGTTCATATCTAACACATAATTAAATAGATAAACATTCAGAAATAGAAAAATTATGTGTATATATGATAATATAAAGTAACATATTCCAAACACTATATATTAAAAAACAAAGAATTATGAATATAAATGCTTTACAAGTACTTAAAACCACAAAAAGCTAAATGTTTATTTGTATATTCATTCAATGGCCATCTTTTTGGCTCATCCACTAGAACCCCATTTTCTATGTTCCTTAAAAACCCTGCAGTTCCTTTTTAGATTGGAGCCATTATTCATACATAGACACACCTTTTCTTAAAGTAAAATCCACGGACCGAGACCACATCTGAATCAAAGTCATTTCGAAGATATCGTGAGTGAGAAATATTCAAAAGAATCAATCGTTATTGTCGTTATCCGACCAACCATCAAGAGAAGCAAATACAATAGGCACCCTAATCAGTAAGATTGCCATTGATAATGTTCAACTACTTTCTGAGTTGTCTTGAGTCAGAGCCTGAAATTAAGTGAACTCCCTCGTTACCATACATGAGACTCTTACTGTATACAACTCGCACAAAGATTCATAAATCCATCCCAAGCCTTTACACGAGCGACAAGTAGATAACTTAGTCATGTTGTAGAGGAATGTCGAGACCATTAAATACTGAATTCTCGACATGGGATGTTACAATTTCACAGCAAACTTTTCAACCCGTAAAAAGATTTTTTTTTACTCATTCGATAATTGACGTGTCGGGATGTGGAGAAGGATGATTTCGAACTTAAAATTTTGAGTTGATGGGTTGGTCTACATGTCTGATATTTGGGTTGCAATTGCCCTAGATTTGAGTTTTTAAATCAAAAATCATTTTTTTAATATTAAAATTTAATGATTGTGTAATACACAATTTTCTTTCACAAATATATGGCCTTTTGAGCTTTCCACCAATGTCTGCTCTTTGTTCAGCAGCTGCTTCACAAAATCCAATGCCCTTTCTATCTCTTCTATCTTTTAAACTTTAGGAGGTAGTTTATTAATTATTATTCGACTCGATATCTTTTGTTTAAGATCGTTTTAATTGCAAATAACTTTAATTCTTCCTTTAACTTTTTAGATTGTCATTTCAGTTATCTAACGTGTTCTTGGTATGATTATTCGAGTTCGATCTTGAAAAGATTGAAACGAGGGGACATCACATTAGAAGATTAGAGTGGAGTCTAATCGTTAAAAGACAAATTTGAATTATGTGTTAACTCAATTTTCAACATCGATACTCGATTGTAGTTGAGTTTATGTCACGTGACGTGTTATGACCCTTTTGTAAAGAGGTTTTCGAGACATGATTCTTTTTCACATTATGACTAATACTTTCGTCTTATTAAAAACATTCAATGAATTCTAGAAGCAGAGATAATGTAACAACCCAAGTCCACGGTAGATATTGTTTGTTTTAGCTTGTTACGTATCGCTGTTATAAAAAAACACGTCTACTAAAGAGAGGTTTATACATTCTTATAAAAAATGTTTTGTTCGCTTCTCTAGCCGATGTGTGATCTCAAAATCCACCCCCTTTGGGGACCTAGTGTCATTGCTAGCATACTATTCGGTAATCCTAGTAGATGCGTTTTAAAATTGTGAGACCGACGACAATAGGGCCAAAACGAACAATATCTATTAGTGACTTGAGCCATTAAAAATGGTATCAAAGTCAAACACTGAGCAATATGACAACAATGACACTGGCCCCCAAGGGAGGTGAATTGTGAGATCCCACATTAGTTGAAGAGAGAATAAAACATTTCTTATTAGGGTGTAGAAACCTCTCCTTATCAAACACATTTTAAAATTGTGAGGTTGTAACGATACGTAACGGGTCAAAGCGTACAATATTTACTAGCGGTGGGCTAGAACTATTAAAAATAACGAACGTTTGAGATGTTTTTGACTAAAGAAAAGGAAAAAAAGACAACCCGAAAAAGAAAAAAAGAAAACCCTGAATCTAAAACGAGCAAAAACAAACTTCTACAATCATATCGGGATGAAAACATACACTTTTATCGAGTGAAATGGCAAACAAAGACACTAAAGATGTCACCCACTAAAGCCATATAAACAAGCCAATGATAGCAACAACAAGAAAGGAGTTGAAACTAAAGAGGGTTTATAGGCTTTTTAGGGTTCAAACACTCATTTGTGGAGCAGTTCTCAAGGGATATGGTTGCAATGGGGAGGGGGAGGCCCCTCATGTTCTCCATTATTTCTAAGATTCCATTGCTTTCGATTTGACTAACTCTTTAAACTACACCATGTCTTTCGTTTCATCCCTTTGCTGTTACGTTTTCAACACAGTTAGTTCGAAAGCATGATCGATAAGACTGGTTTAAGTTTTTTTTTTTTCTTTAGTTCGTTGTTTGTACCTTTTCACATAATTTAATCATCCTATGATGACCGTTATACATAGCTGACAACTAGTTATCGATATTTTCATATAATAATTAATAACTTATTTTCTTAATAATTAATAGCTATTGAAGTACTTTACAAAAAATTTGTTCAAATTTAGCATCTTTCTTATATTCAAACTTTTTATTATTATTTTTTAATTTTTATGAGTATTTTTTAAACTTTTGATAATAAAATAATTTGATAAAATTCATATGGATTTTATTTTTATTTTTCGTCCCACTGTATAATAATATTTTATTTCTTTCATAAAAAAAAAAAAATAAGTGTTTTATTTTTAATTCTATTGATATTTTCAGTTAAAAATATTTCAGTATCATTAGTTGTTACTATATTCATTAGAAATTGTATTTAAGATTCTAATTATATTCACGTGAGATTATACTAAGACTAAAAAAATGTTCAAATATAATTGGTATTTGTTTTAGTGATGTTTTGATTTATATAAAAGAAAATTAATATTTTTATGAGGTGAATGATGTTCCGATTGATTTAAATATGGGCTAATATTTATATTTATACCATTTATATTTATACCAAGAATATGAAAGAAAATATAATAAAATTAAACATTGATCTAAAGTAAAAAAAAAAAAAGAAAACAAAACAAAAAAAGTGGTAGATATTTATACAGTTGAAATAAATAAAAACTTTTCAATCCAAAATTAAGGGGGTGATCTTAATCGGACGGCTAGGATTCAAAAGCGGAAGATCGGGGGAGAAACCGGGAACCTGGCGGAGAAAACAGAGTCCCAAATCTCAGCGAAAGCCCTAATTATAATTTCATGGTGAGAAGGGGAATTCAACTGCAAAAAACAGCGAAGGAGCCCTCGTAAGTCATCCTTCGAGTATATCTCGTTCTCCAGAATCATCTGGACCATCGAATGCCTGAAATCGAGGTACGGATCGTCCGAATCCTTCTCGACGGCGACGCTCTCGCCGCCGGACTTGCCGAAG